CGTCTGCAGGATTGTGGAGGCCAACTGCGCGCAGCAGCTCGACAATAATAAGTGCTTCCTGGACGAGGTCGCGGGCCTCCTTTTGCTGCGCCTCGGCGACTGCTGCTGCTGCTGCTGCTGCTGCTGCAGTGGGCACGTGGGCGACGCGCAGCTGCTGCACCATCCAGGAGGCCATTTGCATGCACTTGGCCTCGTCGGCGGGCGCCAGCGGCCCCGCAGCAAAGACCTCGTGCTGCAGCACCTTGCGAGCAGCAACAAGGGCCTGTGCTGCAGCAGCAGACAAGTAGCGGTCGGAAGCAAAGGAGCGGGCGAACAGCAGCAAAGCTTCTCTGTCTTGCGAGGGGTCCCACTTGGCCCTCTCGAGGCGCTGCTGCGCGCGCAGCAGCTTGTGGCTGACGGACTGCAGCAGCTGCTGCCGCTGCTGCAGCACAGCAGCAGAGGCCTCCACGATGCTGCGGCCCAGCGACAGCCGCTCCGCCATTTGCTGCGACTCCGAGAAGCCCTGCTGCGCTGCTCTCACCATCTGCTGCAGCTGCTGCTGGTCCTCCTCGTGGCCGCGGGCCTCGAAGCCCAGAAACTGGAGTTCTTGTCTCGCCTGCAGCACCATTTGCTTCTCAATGTTGTTCAGCCCCACCAGGTCTTGCTGCTGCGCGCTCAGCAGGTCCAGCTGCCGGTGCAGCGGCGACCGCCGCCGCACTCCTGCTGCTGCTGCTGCTGCTGCTGCTGCTGCTGCGCCCGCCGTCCCCACAATCCCCACCGACGCCGTCCGCGCCGCCGCGCGCTGCCGGTACGCCCCCGCAGACGCCCCCGCCGCCGCTGCTGCTGCTGCTGCCGACTCGTCCCCCTCCCTCGCGCCTGCTGCTGCTGCTGCTGCTGCTGCTGCGCCGCCGCAGGAGTCCCCGTTCCCCGCCAGAGACCTGTTCACCAGGCCCCAGGAAGGCCGGAAGGAAGACTGCAGCGAGCGGGCGCAGGAGAGCGCCAGGAAGAGCACTGCTGAGAGCGACAGCAAAAGCCCGAGGCGAGCTGCTGCTGCTGCTGCTGCTGCAGCGGGAGAAGCAGCAGCGGCCGCCGCCGGGGCGCGCCGCGAAGCCGCCGCAGCCGGCAGCAGCAAGTCCGCGTCCGGGAGGGGGGCAGAAGCGACCGCCTCCGCGCCGGGAGAGGGCTGCTGCTGCTGCTGCTGCTGCTGCTGCTGCTGCAGCGCGCCGTCCTGCAGTGTCTGTACACCCAAAGGGCGAGCCCCCGCATATTCGAAAAGCTGCAGCGCCGCTGCAGCGCCCGTCCAGAGCAGCAGAATCCGCATTGGGAGAAAAGCAAAAGAATCAAAAAGAGCAGAAAAAGGACATGTTAGATCGGGGCAGCCGCGAGCCGCGACCCCCCGCTGCTGCTGCTGCTGCTGCTGCTGCTGCTGCTGCAGGCACGGCGAGAACCTGTGGGATTCGCGACGGAATGGCTCGAAAGACTCGGAAGGGGAACTGTTGCGATGAAGCTGCTGCTGCGGACTCGACGCCAGAACCGCTTTAGGTCGCTGAAGAAAAGTGTCTGTGGGGGTTGGGGAGCCTCGACAGCACTTTTCTGCAAATAAGTCCGTCGAGCAAAGCAAAAGCGAAAAAATTCTTCGAAAGATTCTTCTAAATTCAAAAACTTAAAAAGATTGACAACAGTGAGCGCTCGCTGGCCCGCCAGCCGCCCCAGCCGCGCCGCCACCGTCTGCAGGACAGGGAAAGCGACAGACGGCAAGCCCGCCGGCTCCATCGAGCGCGGCTTCCCGCCGCTCCTTTGCAAATATTTCGCTGCTTTTCAGCTTTAAATTTACTTTTAATTAACGCACTTTGCTTTTTTTCCCGCCAACTTCTGCTCAAATGCCTCCACGCCGCCTGCCAGTCGCCGCCCGCCCCGATCTGCTCCGCCTCCAACGAACGCCCTTGCAACAGCCCCGACTCCGCGATCAACTTCTGCTTTGCTAATAATATTCCTTTTTAAATTCAAATTCCTATTTTAATCCCCAAAGCAGCGCAAACGCCGGCCCGGAAGCTTGCCGCGCTCATTGAATTCCACCCGCCCCCAACCGAGCCTCAGCTTCCCCACTGGGGACTTCGCTGGTTTTAGTGCAAAGCGCCACAAAAGCCTTCCAAATAAATCAGAAATATTTCATATTCCAAAAATAAAACTTTAAACGCTGCAAAATGACACTTTTTGCCGCTTCTTTCTGCACAGATTCACTTATGAAGGGCAGGTGCACCAACTCGGGGTTCATTCCGGCCTCCCAGTGTACAGACACCCGAACCGAACTCGCAATTCTTCTTCCTGCCTCAAATTGCTGCAGAGCTGCACTTTAATTCTAAGAGCTTTTTAGGCAGTGCAGAAGCAGCAGCAGCAGCGAAAGCAGCAGCTGCACGGCGGAGAAAGGCCAGCTTGTCCTGGCACCTGCCTCGCTTTTGCGTTTTTGCAGCACTTTGGGGGATTAGCTCCGCAGCTTAAAGAATGGGAGAGGTTTTTTAGGCCAATTCAATATTAGTTTCTTGCAAACATAAATGCCCACTAGGGGCTCGTTCGCGGACTCCCGAGACCCAACTGCAAGTCTGAAATGTAGAGAACTGCGCGACTGAAGTCACTGACACGTTTGAAAACTGTACAAAATGTTTTTAAAGTTCAGCATACACCTGAAAGCTGAAGTTGCGCATTGTCTATGCGCGAAGTGCCGACGGCCACAGCTGGCTCGTTCGCTGCAGATCACTCAATGCAGAATATCTCCGAGTGGCACAAACGCTTCGGCTTCAGATAATTATATAAATGATATAAATGCATTAATTTAAAGAAAGACATCGCGCAAAACTTCAAGAGCCTGAGCTGTGTATGCGGCTGCCACAGTTGGTCACTCGTCGCTGCATCACGCAGCGTTTCTACGGATCATGCTGCTAAAAGTGCGCATTTTGCAGAATATCCCGCAAAATTAGAACTAAAAATACAAAATTGAATAAGTAATTCTATGAATTCACTTTGAAATAGATTCTGTACAAGACGAAGAAGACCCGGCAGCAGAAACAGCCGCTGCGGTCAAGAAACTCGAAACGCGTCGAAACTTTTCTTCATCTCCAAGTCTTAGAAACTCTCTAATTACATTCTGCACACAAAAGATGCTTCCTGCGGCTCTGAATGCCATTTCAAGATAAGCTCGGGGCCTTTCAGGTGTTGTGGCAAACTTTGCTGTGCTGCCCAATCTAGCGCAGTCCGCCACTAAAAAGCTCTAAAAGTCCCTCATAATGACTTTAATTTCCATACGATTGACCCCGTAGCCTCTTAGTGAGGTGCGAAATCATTGAAACTGAGTGAAATGGCGGAAATTCAATATCGGGCCACCTCACAGGGCGGTTGAAGCGGAGGCTCAACTTCGGAAAGCGATCCGGAGGGAATCTGGAAATATTAGATCCCTTTTTAAATGAAAAAAAAATGAAAAAACTGTTGTCAAGAGAATATTTCGTTTATATTCCAAGAATATTCGAATAGGGAAAGAATTTTTCCCTCTTGTCTCACGGATCGCACTGAGCTCGCTTGTCCAAACAGTGAGAAATTTGTTTGGTGTTCATAAATCAAATAAATCTTTTCAATTAAATTGAAAATCAAAAGAATTAAGTGCAAGAAGCTCTCCACAGTGGCCAGAGGCAGCCAGCAATTCGCTTGAAAGGATAAAGTCCACAACAACTGAGCCACCAGTGAACGAAGATTCTATTATTCGATCAAAAGCATATTCTAACTAATTCCCCCGATAAATTCGTTGAACACACAGCATTTTTAACTTCCGATTTGCTGCAAAGCACCTCTAAACCTGCTGCTGAAGAGGTTCAGCTCGAGCGCTCTTCTTGCACTTCTTTTTACAACTTTGCGAAAATGAGCTGGCATTCATTAATCTCTTTTATTTCCAGTCTCTCTGAGACTCTATATATTCCTGGATGCTCACATTTGCCCCAATAGAAAGCAAGAATAGGCTGGCCAACTGGTAAGAAAGTCAAAGCCAGCCTTCACTGGGGGGTACCTGATCACGGTATAAGTGCGGCACTGCAGCCACGAATTCAAGAAAAGTCCCGCATAAAAAGCGCTGCAAATGGGCATTTATCCTGTAGTTGTGGTGAAAGCAAAGCGCATGCAGAAATTAATTAATTAGAGGATTGCCCCGCACTCAACCCTGGTGCCACAATTCAACTTTTTGCTGAACGCGGGCCAGATCTCTCTGAGTTCAACTCTTAAGTGTTATAGACAAAACATAAATGAAAATTTGAAACTTCTCGTGAAACAGGAAAGCCACATAGCGTCTTATGACTCCCGAAAGCTGTACGGCTGTCAAGTTTGTTCAAAGTCCAGTGCCAGGTAGCCTAGTGTTTCTTAAAAAGTAATTGGGATATCAGGCCTCTTTCCATTCTGGAAACGCATTATATTGCGAGTTATTTGGCGATTTTCTCGCAGCCTGTTCAAGACACCTTGCAGGTTTGAAACCACAAAATCTTCAAAGTTGGCCGGAAAAGAAGTCAGTTGTGAAACTCTGAAAGCACCGTGAAGCTCTTAGTCGCCGTAGATGACTAAAAGAGCCAAGAGCCTGCAGAGGAAGTCTTTCTAATTTTTCAAAGCTGTGAAGGAAGCCAAGAGTTCCAATCGTAGTTTCCTTTTTCCTGCTTTCTATGGCTCAAGGCCCGCCAGAAGAAACCCGTGGGTCTCTAAGCGGCAGAACATCTCAAAGATGAGTGAGGCTTTGTGACTCGCAAACAGTATTCTACAGTTTTATTGGGGAGATCCTTCTTGTTTCAAGTCTAGCGACGGAGTTTGGCTGTCCGTTGCGCCGGCTGAAGTACACTAATGGGGAGAAACTCTGGCTGCTTTTGTTTTCGTTTTTGACCAAAAGCTGGCGAAACAAATAGTCACTTCAGAAGAAATGGAACCGTCAGGGGCACCTCTTGTTCTCCGCAGCTCGCGCATTCACGCTGCATCCGGCGAAGGCCAAAATGGTCAGCAGGGGCAGCTGGAATGTGCGCGTCTGCTTCCAAGGTGTTGGCAGGCACCTGAAGTGCCCTATCCCAGTGGAACATATGCAGGCAGTCACAAAGTTATCAACCTCAGGAAGCCAAATGAAGACCGCTTCCGAGAAGAGCATCGCAAGACTTGCACACGGCGGTTGAGAGCAAAAAACATGTCTACATTTCGAAAAGGAAGGCACACACAGTCCAAGCATACTTGAGTGCACATAACACACATATATAGGACATGCTTTTGGGGAAAACTGCATATACACATATATCCGGCACCGCCCGCAGCTCCGTCGGAGCCGGAGGCCAGCGCGGACGGATACTTGGGGAAGGGTGACCGCCCAGGTGCTTCACCCTCTGCACTTCACTGCAACGAGCCCGAGTTGAAAAATAAGAGTTCGAAATGGGAGATCGCGGCCACTTGCGTTCGCAGCTCGTGCCAGTGAAGCCCTGGCGGCGGCTTCGTCCCGCGCTGTCACCTCGCCGGGCGAAAAAACGAAGCCCCAGGCCCCGGCGGCCTTGGCGGCCCCTCGCTCGCTGTAGAGGCAGATAATGGGGCCGAAGGCGGCAGCTGCGCGGCGCGGCGAGCCGCATGCACCTGCACAGCACAGATCTGCAGCTGCAAGCGCGCATGCACGCGCCGGCGGCCCGTGCGGAAAGCCGCGGGCCGGGCGCCCAGCCCTGCGGCCTTTGCGGAAAGCAGCGGCGGCGGGAAGCGCCGGGCAGCTGCAGCGGGCGGAAAGCAGCGGCCGCGGCGGCGGCAGCAGCAGCAGCCGCAGCCGCCGCTGCAGGCGCGGCCGCGGCGCGGGCGCGGGCGCTACTCGGCGCTGGGGGGGCCCCCGGGGGGCCGCGGGGGCCCCCGCAGGCGGGCGAAAGGCGCGCCGGGGGCCCCGCGGGCGTCCGCGGGCTGCCGGAAGCCGGCGTAGAGCTCCTTGGCCTGCTGAATGGCCTCCTCGAGCTCCTCGAACTGGGGCGCGGGGGCGGCGAGGCCGTAGATGCGGAGCAGCACCTGGTCGCCGTTTTGCGCCTGAGTCCACAGCTGGCGCGCGGCCTCCGGCGTGGGGCTCTTCGCGAAGCGCTGCAGCGCCCGCGCCAGCTCCGCCCC